TCTCTGCACTTGAATTTCAAAGGCTGTGATTTATCTTCTTAATTTCTCCAGATCTAGACCTCAGCTAGAGCATTTCCTAGCTGCAAATTAAATGAGATTCATGTTTTTGCATTCAGAAAGAAGCAATGTAATGGTAAAAGCCTGCAGACACTGATTTGTCTATTTCTCTAAGCAAATCACAGAACATATACTAATGTTCATAATTAGTTTAATTTAAATATACATTACTGTGCAAAAGTTTAGGGTAAGGACCATTTAAAAACAAAATTAATACTTTATTCAGTCTTGATGCAGTAAACTGATCAAAAGTGACAGTAAAGCAATTTATAATGTTATAAAATATTTCTATTTCTAATAAATGCAGTTCTTTTGAACTTTCTATTCATCTGTGAATCCTGAAAAATCAAATCACAGTTTTCACCAAAATATTGTGCAGCACAACTGTTTTCAACATTGATGATAATCAGAAATGTTTCTTGAGCAGCAAATCAGCATATTATACTGATTTCTGAAGATCATGTGACACTGAAGACTGGAGTAATGATGCTGAAAATACAGCTGCGCATCACAGAAATACATTACAGTTTAACAGATATTCACATAGAAAACAGCTGTTTCAAATTATAAAAATATTCCACAATTTTACTGTTTTTACTGTATTTCTGATCAAATAAATGCAGCCTTGGTGAACAGAAGAGACTTCTTTCAGAAACATTAAAAAACTACTTTAACTTTAGACTTTTATGTGTCAGGTTGCAGCTAACTGGTGTGAATTATTTCTGATCGACAGATCTCATAAATCAGAAGATATTTCTGAAAGCGCATAACTTGCTTACATGATTAGATCTCCTAGTGTCTGTCTGAATCAAGACAATAACCTACAGCAGGACACCGCAAACATACAGGCCTGTAAAAGATGTAGTTTAGAAGAGTAGATCAGTTCGGTTGGAGATGACTGTTTTGTCCCATTTCAAACACAATGGAGGCACTGAGGCCAAATCACTGAAGCTTTCTGTTTGCTGAGCGAGTCAAAGAGAAGCCAAATCCACTGTGGACAGAACGGCTTGCAAAGGGCCGAAGTGCAGTGGAAGCCATGAATCATAAGTACACTTCATTCTCCACTGAGTCATGCGAGTTTGTTCCTATGAATGCCTTGTTGTTGGCCTATAAAGTGGAGCGAGGTCAGTCAACATGACCAATAAACCGGCCTCCTCCTCTGATAACCTGCTTCCAACTCGCTCGTCTTCCTCACAAACCTCACAATCACACCCTAATTATTTGTACAGAAAATAACAGTGAGCCCAGTGCATGCTGGGAGGGTCGCATCCAAAGACGTGTTGGGTTTCTTCTGTCCAAGAGCAACACGCGGCACAGTGGCGTGATTCAGGCTTCGTGTGGCGACGCTCATAATGAAGCGCCTGTTTCGATCTCCCTTGTGTTTTAAAGGGAGATTCAAGAAAAACACGTCTGATTTATGCTGTGCGAGTCCAATTTAAATAGCAAACACACAAAGGATTATTTTGACATTTCACGGCTCGTTGGCCCCATTAGTGACAAACTGCCAGAGGAAGTTGTGTGGGAAGTGTGGTCAGATATGGTATATCAGAGAACGTCACGCGAACAATAATCTATATTGGTAAATGATGGAGTAGATCAGACATATGGTTGTTGCAAGCATAATTTGTGAGTGTTTCTTCACATACAGTAGACTAAACAAAGCCTTGTCTGGGTTGGAAAAGATTCTTGTAAACTGAATTTAGAATTGAAGGAAACTGATAGTTTGTTTGGACAATATTCCACACAGTTTAGTAGAAGAAATTAAATGTTGATATGATAAAGCAAACAAATGCAGTTGCTAGGGTCTTCTGGATGGTTACCAAGGTGTTGCCATGCAGATGGGTTTGTGAGTGTTTGGTGTGTTGCTATGCAGTTGCTAGGGTGTTGTGGATGGTTGCCAAGGTGTTGCCGTGCAGTTTATAAAGTATTCTAAAGTGTTAAGCATTTTAGTGTGTTGCTATGCATTTGTTAGGATGTTGTGGATGGTTGCTAAGGAGTTGCTATGCAGTTGTTAAAGTGTTCTAAAGTGTTGAGTGTTTTAGTGTGTTACTATGCAGTTGCTAGGGTGTTGTGGATGGTTGCCAAGGTGTTGCCGTGCAGTTTATAAAGTATTCTAAAGTGTTAAGCATTTTAGTGTGTTGCAATGCATCTGTTAGGATGTTGAGGATGGTTGCTAAGGAGTTGTTAAACTGTTCTAAAGTGTTGAGTGCTTTAGTGTGTTACTATGCAGTTGCTAGGGTGTTGTGGATGGTTGCCAAGGTGTTGCTATGCAGCTTCTAAAGTGTTCTAAAGTGTTAAGCATTTTAGTGTGTTGCTAAGCAGTTGTTAGGATGTTGTGGATGGTTGCTAAGGAGTTGCTAGGCAGTTGTTAAAGTGTTGAGTGCTTTAGTGTGTTACTATGCAGTTGCTAGGCTGTTGTGGATGGTTGCCAAGGTGTTGCTATGCAGCTTCTAAAGTGTTCTAAAGTGTTAAGCATTTTAGTGTGTTGCTAAGCAGTTGTTAGGATGTTGTGGATGGTTGCTAAGGAGTTGCTATGCAGTTGTTAAAGTGTTCTAAAGTGTTGAGTGCTTTAGTGTGTTACTATGCAGTTGCTAGGCTGTTGTGGATGGTTGCCAAGGTGTTGTTATGCAGGTTCTAAAGTGTTCTAAATTGTTAAGCATTTTAGTGTGTTGCTAAGCAGTTGTTAGGGTGTTGTAGATAGTTGCTAAGGAGCTGCTATACAGTTGTTAAAGTGTTCTAAAGTGCTGAGCGTTTTAGTGTGTTGCTATGCAGTTGTTAGGGTGTTGTAGATGGTTGCTAAGGAGTTGCTATGCAGTTGCTAGGGTGTTGTAGATGGTTACCAAGGTGTAGCTATACAGCTGCTAAAGTTTTCGGAGTGTTTTAGTATGTTGCCATACAGACGCTAGGGTGCTGTAGATGGTTACCATGGTGTTGCTATGCAGTTGCTAAGGTGTTTTAATTGTTTTATTGTGTTGCTATACAGTTTCTTTATATGGACATCAACTTGAGATAGTCACCACCGATAAGATATTACTAAATATAATGTAGAAACTTTAATTTTCTGTAAAGCTGCTTTGCAACGATTTGCATCGTGAAAAGCGCTATACTGTACAAATAAACTTGAATTGAACTGAACTGAATTTCTAAGGTGTTGTAGAAGGCTGATAGGGTGTTGCTATGTATTTGCCAAGTTGTCGTAGATGGTTACCAGGGTGTTGCTACGCAGTTGCTAAGGTGTTCTGAGTGATTTTAGCATGTTCCTGTTACATTTGCATTGTTGTGGTAATGCCGTACACACATTCATGTAGTCACAGCAGCTGCATACGGCATTATTGTGTAATCTGGCTCGCAGCACATATGGTTTGTGCTAGACTTCCAGACACTGCTTTTCCTCTACAGTCAGGTAAATTACAGCTGTCTGTCACTAACATCACACAGATCACGACTAACATGCCTGTTTTAACCACTTCCAGCTGCTGTGAGCAGACTCAGTGTTCAGATGCTCTACTCCAAAGCGTTTCTGCCAACTGGACCAATGAAACGCAAATGCTGGCCTTAAACTCTAAATCACTAATGCAGTAATTGTGAGACCTGCTGTTTGTAAATCTAGCCAAATATTCAACAGTCTGCCAGGTTACCACACATTAGCGTGTGCACATGAATTTATGAGTGTTTCTTCAGCCATCAGCTATGCAATCGCTTAATATTCCAAAATACATTAAAACGCATTACCATTGAAATGAAATGAAATGAAAACAATGCTGAACAGTTTATATATTGTACTGTACATCATCACAGGAGAATTCATTTTTTCATGAACTTTTCATGCATTTTTTATTTATTTATTTTTACAGTTTTGTATTGTGTTTGATACTGTTATGTTATAGAAGTAACTGATAAAAGTACAATTTCAAATATTTCTGGAAAAAAAGAACTGGAAAAAAAATATTGATTGATTTATTTGTTTGTTTGTTATTTTTGTATTTTATAGCTAGCATTTTATTTACCCCAAATATGCACAATTAAATAATATTTTATCACTTTTTGCATTATTTGACAAAATTACAGACAGATACACAATACAAATATTTTGTTCAAGTATTTCTGTCATTGCCATTTCTGTCTTTAAACCCTCAAAGAGTTATTTTGGCATTTTATTAAGTACATATGCTAGTTGGACCGGCCTATCTTGCATTTTATGTACCCTAAATACACAATTTCATATTATTAAAAAAAAAAATAGATTAACGCACAATAAAAAATATTCTGTTTACATGTTTTTTTTCTTGATTTGTCTCAAGCATGATCTTAGCCAACATTGTTGTCTCCTAAACAAAAATTTATATATATATAATTTAATTATCATCATTTAAAAAAAGCAATTATTGAAATTTTACTTTACTAATATCCATTGCTTAAGACAGAATGTTTGAGTCATAAGTAAAACAATCAAATCTATAAATAAGGCTTTTAAAAAGTAGCACAAACAAATGTCAACAGAACAGTTTTCCGAGTTTAATGTGACCTTCATATAATAAAAAGAGAACGGAAATCTGTCATTTCAGAGCTCCAAACCTTTGAAGAGATACTGCATTTGGTCATTTTAGTTGATAAACTGCATCATTGCAGTACATATTTCAACAAATACTGTGGTTGGAAGACAATACCAAGATACCGTTTTTCTCTTTTTATGAAAAATACTACCCAATATCTTTCATTGTTCTGTCATATAATATGTGAGGGGGAACAGATGGACCTGCCCTGATCATGTTTTATCGTTTATATTATTTTCAGATTCAGTATTCAGTTTCTTGCTGCATTCTGATGGATCTGACCCTCGTCTAGGCCGCTCAAAGCCTCTGCAAAGCCAGAGATGTGTTTTGTGTTGCCAACATTCACACGGAGGAGTCCAGCTCTCTCAGCTGAAGAAGACAATCTCTTACCTTTCAAAGCCCAGCTGCCGTATTGATCTCTCCCATGATGAACCTGAAAAACAACACAAGAAGGTGTTCAAAACAGCACAGAGATGATCCAGTCTATAATCTGATGTAGAGGCTAAAGCTCAAGGCTGCGAATCAAAAGTCTGCTGCTTTGAACCATGAATGTAGTGAACTAAGAACATTGGCTGTTGATTGGACTGGGAAAAGCTTTGGAATAGCAGGTTGATGGAAGACTGACGTCATTTCAGAATCATTTATATTTTATCTTATATGTTGATTTTGAAACACTATGAAGACTTTTTTTTCTCATTAGATTAGCATGCACTAATAAATTATTCAGCCCTATCTCATTATTTTTCTTAGGAATTCAAACTGTCTGGGTATTTGCTAAAACAAACAATATGAACATCTGCAAAAACTAAAATGTTAAACTATTTATGTATGCACAACTTTAGAAATGTAAAAAAAATATATTATATTTACTTTTTACTAAATAAAAAAAAAAATGAAACTATCACTTTTATTCATCAAGGATGCATTAAATTGATTAAAAGTGACAGTAAAGATTTATAATGTTACAAAAGATTTTCCAATAAATGCTGTTCTTTTGAACTTTCTATTCATCTGTGAATCCTGTAAAATAAAATGAATCAGATTCCATAGAAATATTGTGCAGCACGACTGTTTTCAACATTGATAATAATCAGAAATGTTTGTTGAGCAGCAAAGCAGCATATTAGAATGATTTCTGAAGATCATGTGACACTGAAGACTGGAGTAATGATGCTGAAAATACAGCTGCGCATCACAGAAATACATTACAGCTTAACACATATTCACATAGAAATACCTATTTTAAATTGAAAAAAAAAAATTAATGGTTCTTACTGTATATTTGATCAAATAAATGCAGCTTTGGTGAGCAGAAGAGACTTCTTTCAAAAACATGAATAAATCTCACAACTCCAAACTTCTGAACACTAATAGAGTTGTAGATACAAGATGTAACAAGTATGTATGTGCTAAAAAATGTATTTCATTAAACCATGCTTCAAGTGTAGTGTACTGTAATACACCGTAAGTCACTTCAGATAAAAGCAAATGACTTCTAAATGACTTCTTATTAACAAAACACATGTGAAACGGCATTGTTTTGATATTATTCAGTCATTAAATGTCATTACATGTTGTACAGATATCACCAGATCCTGCGCGTTACACACTTACCAAAAAACATTTGGCAACATTTATTGTGTTCAAGGTTTTTGTCGGGCAGAAAACTCAAACAAAACACCATGTGATTGATAGTATACTGAATCTGGGTCTGTTTACAGGGACACTTCCAGGTATTCAGAGTCTCTGCCAAGAGAAATACACGCCTTCCAGTTCATCTGCAAGACTGAAGCAACTGTCCAAGATTTGACAAATTATGACTGATGGAATTAGGCTGCGGACTGCTTAGCAGCTGAATCACATTGGCAAACTGGAAGATGAGCAAACCAGAAACACTATAAGAACAAAAAAATGATTCAAACCACTCATATATCTCTGTTAGGCTACGACATCACGTGACATCATTCAAAATATGTTCAATTTCATATTAAAGGAATAGTTCAACCAAATACAAAAATGTGCTGGAAATGTGCTCACCCTCATGCTATCCGAGATGTAGATGAGTTTGTTTCTTCATCAGATTTGTAGAAATGTAGCATTGCATCAGTGTCTCAGCAATGGATGCTCTGCAGTGAATGGGTGCCGTCAGAATGAGAGTCCAAACAGCTGATAAAAACATCACAATAATCCACAAGTAATCCACAGCACTCCAGTCCATTAGTTCACATCTGGAGAAGACAAAAGATGAAACACATCCATCAATAAATCCATAATAACGATTCCTCCAGTGAAAAAGTGCATCTGCTGTTGTCTCTCACATCAAAATCCAGCCACATATTTGTTTAGAGCTGTTTAAACGCTGCTTGATCTGTGCTTTTTCACCACTTTTTTTTTCTTACACGTGTGCAGCTTTTGTCTTCTCCAGATGTGAACTAATGGACTGGAGTGCTGTGGATTACTTGTGGATTATTGTGATGTTTTTATCAGCTGTTTGGACTCTCATTCTGACGGCACCCATTCACTGCAGAGCATCCAAGAAATGTTAGAATTGTTCTTAAGACTTTATTCTACAAGGATGCATTATACTGATTAAAACCGACACATTTCAAGTAAAAAAAAAAAAAAAATGTATTAAATGCTGTCCTTATGTTCTTTCTATTCTTCAAAAATAATATCCAAGTGCAAAGTTTTACTTAGATAAAGCTTTAAAAAAAAAATCATGCATAAGGACATGCATTTACTTAAAAGAAAAAAAAAATAGATATGAAAAATAAATGTCAGATTTTATAATGAAATGCATATTAAGCATGTAAAAAAACACTAAAAATGTTGTTTCCAAAATGATAAACCATATGCATAAATATTAAATTCACAATGCTGACAAAAAGGAAGAAAAAAAACTATGAACGAGAGAGCTTAGAGGTTTACACTTGGCGTTTATATGACATACACCCTTAAATCAGTGAATACCTGAATCTAAATCAACCGTATAAGAAAGCATAGATAGATAATAACTGTATTTAAGCAGGCCATCGCTTTCTTTTATCTGGTGAGTATCCAAATACTTTTGTTAAGCCCAATTACTAACAGACACCAGATGTTTGGGGTTTTTTTTCTTATAGAGACGTTCACAAATATGTCTAGAGTTTAAGATCAAAGCTCAGAAAGTTTCTTTGTTGACATATAATGCTGTATTTGGAAAAGATCTATGAAGTCAGCCTGAGTTGTGATATCGAGAGTGATCCGAGAATGCCGAATCATCACAGCTCATAAAACATTCAAACATTTCACATCTCCAGTCTAGCGGTAGTTCTGTTTCTCCTGCTGTCTCAGGCGGATCTCAAGGCCTTCGTGATGACGCTCAGGAAACCGTTCAGGATGAGGTCTGCTAAAGACTGCTCGATTGAAAGTCTGATGATTTCATAATATTTCTCTGTGGGAAGACTGAAAACACACGGAGATCACGCTGAACTCCTCGTGCTCGTTTCAGACCGTCTGTGAAAGTTATCAAGCCAGCGGGGAAATAAAGCGGCTTGTCTTCTGTCTGGAGTCCACATGAAGGTGTGGAGCTTCCCTGCTTACATGGATTTGGAGAGATTCGGTTTAGATGTTTTCAGATGTGGTTGTCATTTTCATTCTCATTTGTTTTCACAATGTCACCCGAGGAGAAGTCCAACTCAAAACAAGCCTTCACAGAAATCCAGTGTTTTCTTATTGTTGAAACTCAGCCATCCATGTGGTTGTTCACAAAACAGTTTGGAAACCATTTATTTTTATTATTTTATTTTATTTTATTTTTATTTTTTTTCTAGTTTGGTTTTGGCTGACTGGACATTATTTTTATTATTTTTATTATTTTTTACATTTTATTATTATTATTATTTTTATTATTATTTTATTTTATTTTATTATTTTATTTTGGTGAAAAACCTATTTCCACCACAGAATACAAAATAAAACAAGCAATTGTGCGATAAAGCTTAAAATAAGAACACTTGTGTGAAACATTATCTCACACTCTGAGATATAAAGTCATCTTGTTGACATATTACAAAGTAACAATTATGAGAAACATCTAAGCAATAATGAAAAGCTGCCATCAAAAGAAATAAAATCATTTATTATTAAATAAGGCAGAAACAAGCTTTCATATGAAGGAGTACAACACTAACTCTCAAAAAACACAACAGTAATTTATACACTGTAAAAAAAAAAAAGATCTTTCAAAGTTAAAGCAAAGATTATTGGATTAGGTTTTACAAGAAATTACTATTTCATTTTTTTCTAATTCAAAAGTTCATGTTAAATTCAACGTGTTACCTGCCAATTCTTTGTAATTATTTGTGAAATTCACTAGCAATTTCTGACTAAAGAATTATTTCAATGTAACTCCCACACCATTTTAATGTGTATTTATTGCATATTTTATCATTACTAATAATTTTTAAAATCCTGAATATATATATATATATATATATATATATACTGTGCAAAAATTTTCAAGTTAAGATTTTTAATGTTTCTGAAAATAATCTCTTCTGCTCACCAAGGCTGCATTTATTTGATTCAAAATATAGTAAATATTGTGAAATATTATTACAATTATTGTTTTCCATGTGAATATGTGTTAAACTGTAATGTATTTCTGTGATGCGCAGCTGTATTTTCAGCATCATTACTCCAGTCTTCAGTGTCACATGATCTTCAGAAATCATTCTAATATGCTGATTTATTAGAAACATTTCTGATTATTATCAATGTTGAAAACAGTCGTGCTGCACAATATTTTTGCGGAAACCGTGATACATTTTATTTTTCAGGATTCACAGATGAATAGAAAGTTCAAAAGAACAGCATTTACTTGAAATATAATCTTTTGTAACATTATCAGTCTTTAATGTAATTTTCGATCAATCCAATGCATCCTTGCTGAATAAAAGTATCCATTTATTTAAGAAATTGTTGTTGTTGTTTGTTTTTTTGAGGTGAGTGCACACACTGAAGTCGCTGTCAGTGTCAGTGACCTTGAGGAAACCCAGTGTCGTCACATCGAGCTTTTGTTAGAAGTTACGCTTAAAAACATGTAGGACCGAGTGTTGTGTTTTTAGAGAGCAGGGAGATCCGCATCCTGAGGAAGCCACAAACATATGAAGACAAACTATTGTGTGTGTGAACCTGAAACATTTAACACATTATCATCTCTCACACTACAGCAGCCGTTTGACTCTATGAAGCAGAGAGCAGATCAAGAGCTTTCGTCTCGCCTTCACCTCCACAGAACGAGCGCTTGTTTACTGCTCAGATTGATTTGGACACAGAAGTCATTTCTGGCACAGGCCGGGTTTACAGATCGCACAGAAATGCAGTGTAAACACGTACTGAGACGCTAGAGCGGCTGATGAACAGAGGAATGCTCGTTCTGCTGCTGCGTTC